AGGATTTTATTCTCCCCAAGCAGATTCTGGAAAGGGAGTGGTAGGCATGTTCTGTTTGTTTCTGAAAGGATGTAGGAGGTTTTTTCCACAACTGTTTCACATGTTGCCTTCCCTTCCTTCCGTTGGCTGAATACTAAAATACTATTTTTATTCATAGAAAATAAGGTATTAACCTAAAACACTGCAGAAAGCTTTTGCTCTTGCAAACGAAGATGATGTTAGTGTATCACAAGTGTGTGCTATTGAGGACTACACTCATGCATGTTCCAGAATTTAAAAAAAAAAGGAAAATGGAAATCATTATTAAAGATTCTTGAGTTTCTTGCTTGTGTGTAGATTGGCAGTGGCAATTCCTCCACCTGGCAATAGCTGACTGGTACGAGCAGGAGGAGGAGGCATACGTGCTGGTGTGACTGGTGTTGGCAAAAACAAAGTAATGCTTAATATTTTGCAAGTTTCCAGACTTGTTTCTAGATCCTGCATCCATCCTCAGGCTAACTTTCTGCTCTAACAATAAATAGACGTACTCGTCCGCTTGAGAAATTCTAAACATGCTGAAATTATTGAAATTAGCTGTGAAATGGGATTTTGCAATACAGAAGCTTCAGGTGGAGAGATCTGATCACCAGACACTGCTGTCCTCAGCAAAAGCTTGAGATGGTCTCTCAGTTGAGAGCCCATCCCACAAGATATTTATGGGAAATTGGTGGTCGTACCTGAGGCTAGTTGATAAGAAGACTGAATGGTGAAATGCTGTAATTTGACAGTGAAGGAGTGCTGTCATGGTGTGCTATTCCACCCTGCTTAAGGATTTGAAGGATAACTGCGATATATTTTACTGCTTCTGGTTCCCTACAATAGAACAGATTCCTGTCAACTGTGATCTTGTCATCATGGGCTGGGTCAGCACGAGGTTTACAAGGAAATCTGGCAGTTAAATTGTTTAAAAAAACCTCCCCAAATTAGGCTAAATTAGAAGTTGTGCCCATATCGTAAATCAGCAAGGACCACAGCAGAACCTTCTTTCTGAAAAACAGCATCTCTTGTACATTGCTTTCAAGCTTAGTGCTTAGCTTGTAAGACCCATATTTTCAGGCTGACTTTGTAAGGAAAAGGAGCAACATGTTTCCTCTTAGAATGATTATTTTTTTCATTTCTAGAATCCCTAAATCCTACAGGTCCTATGGTGGTAGGAGGTCAAAGCACAGATTTCTAGTTACAGCATTTGTATGTTGGTTCCATAAATCCAGACAGATTAGCCAGTCTGGTGAGTGTGCAAATGCCTCTGCTCAAGGTCATAGTGGTTACCGAATCAAAGGGCAAAAAATTGGGTATTCACAGTACTGTGAACATTCCAAGTTAGCTACTGCAATTTCTCCATTTCTTTTCTGAGTTTACCAGCTTGTAGCTAAGGATTCAAATTTGGCACTTTCCAGGTGGGATCAGTCCTCTGCTTTCTCAGAGCAGGAGAGAAATGAAAGAATGGGGCACTCAGTAACTTGAAATACAAATGCCAGCGCATGATTTTAAGTACCTGTATGGCTGTATGAATGAGGGTCTATCTGTGTGCTTTAAATTAGAAACATTAACCAGTTCTACACTGAGGTAAGGTCACACACACACACACACAGTATGCTAGAGATTGGAAGGGACCTCGAAAGATCATCTAGTCCAATCCCCCTGCCGGAGCAGGAACACCTAGATAAGGTTACACAGGAATGTGTCCAGGCGGGTTTTGAATGTCTCCAGGGAAGGAGACTCCACAACCTCCCTGGGCAGCCTGTTCCAGTGTTCCGTCACCCTCACTGAGAAGAAGTTTCTTCTCAAGTTTAAGTGGAACCTCTTGTGTTCCTAACCATAGCAGAGCTTTCCCATCTGTTGCTTGAAATGTCCAATATCAAAAATGCTGTCTAGACGGTAGCAGGGGTCTCTTTTAGTGATTTGTATTCATGAATGATATTATTACAGCTGCAAGTGGAATCTAGATGTTCATAAAAGTACTTTGCATGGTACTTTGGCATCCATGAAAAACTAGCTAGAGTCCTGACATCTGCTCTTGGAAAGGAACCCAGTTCTTCTTGGTGTTTTTAATACAAAGACAAAAAAATTCTTTGTTCTTGTGCACCTCATGAAGAAAATCCCTAATATGAAAAGTGTCTCCTGCACATTCTGCTCAGATAGAAACAGGCTATTTTCCCAAATATTTCATGTTCTAAAGTAGACCATTTGTTGAAGTTCAGAGCAGCCCATTTACATCCCAGCTGGGAGGCTGTCAAGCTAGCCGCTATGTTATATTATGATTCAAAATGTTAAATGCTTCCTTTAAAAGGCTGATGTTTGGAAACCACATTTCAAACCAAGGTCATCAGCATCTTTGAATAGAAACTTCCCCGGTCTCTGGAGAAAAATAATTAAACACTTTGTTCAGTTTAATGAAGCTGACAGTGCATGGGGAGAAATAGTTCTGCTTATTAGACTTCTGATTTACATGATAACTAAGAAAACGCTCTGAAAGCAGCCATTTATTAAACAGAAATGAAACTTTTGGCTTTGGAAATATGCCCAGTGCTTTGATTGTTTTGGCATAAAGTTGATAATTCTGAAAACCTACTTCTTATTTCACGTTTCAGTTGCATCTTCTAAAATACTGTACCACCAAGGAGCATCATCAATATGCTTAGGCTTCCAATCTGACCTGTTCTCAGCTTCTTAGTCATAGAGGGACTACCTTGACTATCTGTATTGACTTCTTTTTTCCTTTTAAATTCTTAAGTCAAATTTCTCATAACCTTTTCAGGAGCACAGATTAGTTGAATCAGCAGTTGCAGGCATTCCATGAAAAACTTACTGGTAATGCAGGTGGATCTTGCTAGTGGCATGGTGATGGACCACTTCCTAAGTTACATTCAGGAAGCTAAAAATGGAGTAAATACTATTTAAGTATTAACTTTATATACAAAGAACTGAAAGAGTTCTCCAGGGTGTGATGTGATTAAGAGCAGTAGTGGTTCACTTTGTATCAGATCTCAGCAGGTTGGTGTCATTGTTGATGCTGCTGAACAATGTAAAAAGAAGCCTTGGCCATTTTAACCCCCTGAAGTGAAGGTCCCCTAGAATATTTTTCAGTCAGAACTTCTTCCATAAGGAAAGTTTGCTTAAATGGGGAATATACCGAATTTACAGAATCTTAGAATCGCAGACTGGTCAGGGTTGGAAAGAACATTAGAACATCTAATTCCAACCTCCCTGCCCAAGGGAGACCTTCCATTAGACCAAAGCCCCATCCAGCCTGGCCTTGAACACTTCCATGGATGGAACATTCACAACTTCTTTGGGCAACCTGTGCCAATGCCTCACCACCCTTACAGTAAAGAACTTCTTTCTTGTATCTAACCTGAACTTCCCCTGTTTAATTTTGAGCCCGCTATCCCTTGTCCTGTTGCTACAGTCCCTAATGAAGAGTCCCTCCCCAGCATCCCTGCAGGCCCCCTTCAGATACTGGAAGGCTGCTATGAGGTCTCCACGCAGCCTTCTCTTCTCCAGGCTGAACAGCCCCAACTTCCTCAGCCTATCTTCATATGGGAGGTTCTCCAGTCCCCTGATCATCCTCGTGGCCCTCCTCTGGACTTGTTCCAACAGTTCCATGTCCTTTTTATGTTGAGGACACCAGAACTGCACACAATACTCCAGGTGAGGTCCCACAAGAGCAGAGTAGAGAGGCAGGATCACTTCCTTCAACCTGCTGGTCGCGCTCCTTTTGATGCAGCCCAGTATATAGTTGGCTTTCACTTGCCCATGCTTTACTGAGGGGTGGGGGCAAGAGCTGAACTGAAGAATTTTGATTGCATAGAAATACTTGTAAATAGTGCATTTTAAAGCAAAATGTTTTCAGCCTGTTTCAAATCGCTGTTGCTTTTTGAAATGCATTTTACTGCAGAAAAATAATAAAAATAGTTTTAAAAATAAAACTGGAAGAAAATGTTCTGCTTGCCAGTTTCAGAAGAATTTAATTAAGGTCAGCTGAAAAATACTGGCTTAGAGAAAAAGAATTTAATGAAGTATTCTGTCTAATTCAGAACAGAAAATAAAATCTGAGATTCTAGAATTTATACAGAAGCTTGAGCACCTACACAGGATAAACACCAGGCAGGCGGTTTGCAAAGAACAAAGGGCAACACTGATGGAAGATGCATTCTTAGTTACGAACTCTTGCCATGCTTTTAAAGATAGGGAACAACAGTCAACCCCTTTGGCTTGGCCTATAAATGGGTGAAATCCTTGCAGTGATGTCATAGAATCATAGAATAGTTAGGGTTGGAAAGGACCTTCATGCATTTCTGCTGAAGTCCTTCAAATATTTAGAAGCAATTTTTAATTGAAGCATGAAGAAGTGGATAATCTCTGCAGTACCTTCTTGAATAGGATGCTTACTTTGACTGGAAGGGTAAAGGTGAACCCTGAAATTAGAGTATCAATAAGCTAAGGGCTTATATATAATTCCAAAGTGCCTGTTTGGATCACTATAGCACTGTTTCCTAATTCTGTCCCCTTTTAGGAGATCTCTAAATTTTCTTTGGCAGTAAAACCAGATGAAGGCTTTGCCCCCTTCTTTATTAACTGCCATCCATTTGGGGATTTGTTTTACAGTGTGGTTCCAGTTGAACGACACAACTGAAGGGTTGTGAACTTCAGAGTCAGGTTGGAAACCGGCAGGTAGTGGTGAGGGGGACTTAAGCTTTGTCACCAGAGAAAAAAACAGCACTTGGAAATGGCCTTGATTTAATAACAATAATAATAATAATAGTAATAATGTGTTAAGTACTATGTTTTGAATCACTAAGAGTTGACGCATTGTTAGCATTGTGCTGTTACCTATGAATGATTAAGTGAACAGAACAGGCAGTAGTTACTTTTCATGAAGTGTTACTTGAACCGTTACAGACCTGAATCAATCTGCAAACAACTCTGAGTAAGATCTAGGATATTTTTGTGTTTTCCAGGGTGTGCAGACTTGCATCTTTTGGATATGTTGACACCTACTGAAAGAAAAAGGCAGGGATACATCCATGAGCTCATTGTCACGGAGGAGAACTATGTAAATGATCTGCAGTTGGTCACAGAGGTAAGGTGGCACAGCAGCTTTAGGAGCAGGTTTTAATCACTCATCTATTCGTTTTAAATTAATAACTTCACTGTGCAAACTTGTTTCATATCACTGCTGCGTTTGACTTCCCAGGGATGATATGTATTAAATTTTCATATCTCTCTATTTATCTATATAGATGTGTGTGGGTGCGGGCACAACTAATGTTAAGCCTTTGTGTTACCATCCCCGAAACACTGATGTTCAAAGTATTACTCTAGTAAACCCTTTTTGCTCCTGATTTTGAATGTTTATTTCTCAAGTATAAGTTCTTAAATCACATTCACTGTGGCTCTCAGTAAGTTACCACTTACTGTGATTTTCTTTAAATGTTACAAGGAGCATCTCTTATGTGGGAAAAAGGGAATCAGTACAGCAGCTGACTTAGACAGTCCTTTTGACAGCGAAGGAAACCCCTTTTTTGAAAAAGAGGTCAAGATGTGCAAATGTGAGGCATTGTGAGATAAATCAGAACTTCCATAAAGGAGTGCAAAGTAAAATGTGTTCTCAGTTGTAATTCTGCCTGAGATATTTTGCAGAGACCTCTGACTAAATTCCCCAACTGTTAAACAGATTATCCAGATCATAATTAACACCATCAACATAAATTCAGGGTATTCTCTTTTAAAGCCATACCTTGCTCACAAACCAACCCAGTGAGTATCAGGGATTATTATGGATCTCCAGTACACAGTGCATGTTGGAAGTCTGTTCCACTGAGTGTCAAGTGCTACTCTGATGGGTTTTTTTCACCCCCAGACAAATGAAATGAGTCATCAGTCATAGTCACTTTGATAATACTTACCATATAGTCTCTAAATCGCTTTCATTTTCTGAATCTGTAGATCTTCCAGAAACCACTAATGGAATCTGAGCTGCTAACAGAAAAAGAAGTTGCTATGATTTTTGTTAATTGGAAGGAGCTGATTATGTGCAATATAAAACTACTGAAGTAAGTATTTTTCCTCCATACTTAGCAATAACAAAATCATGGGCCTCTCCCCCCCCCCTTCTCCTTTAGGTACCTGAAAATATTTGCCACTTCAGCAAGTAGTAACCAAAAAGGGCCATGTGTTATTTCTTCTTGGAAAAAGCAAAATATTAGCAACATTTCTATGACTTACTGTTGTTGTTGAGAAAAATCCAGCAGTTCTTTGCTGAGTAAATATTTGCACTTACTTTGCTTTCGGTGTACATGTGCTCCAGAAAGCAAGATCAACCTCTCCTCAAGAGTAGTGCCTCAAAGGCTACCTACAGGTAAACTTTTACTTCCTCTGTCACAGCCCATACCCATTTCCAGTCCTGTCATCCCTGAATGCAGAATAAGGCACAACAATCTTTCCATCCCTTATTCTGAGTTATCTGATGTGTTCCTTTAGTTATTGTAGCACCTGAACGAGCTGTTTTGTGAGGAGAGGTGCCAACAAAGCCTGGTTTCATAAGGATTTGTGTCCAATGTACCCTGCGCCCTTCCTTCCAAAGTCTCCAGCTACTGCAACTCCAACTCTCTACCATTAAACTCCAGGCAGTGCAAGTGCCCTTACTTCTCCCTTCATTCTCTGTGGCCTCTGATGGATTCAGTTCCTTCCTACTCACTCACATCCTTCTTACCAATCCCTACTGCTTCATCAGGACACACTAAATGCTGTGCTTTCTTTAAAGGCATGTGCATGCAGGTTGCTTATCTAGTCATTGACAGAGAAACTGGGTGAGGATTGGGTTAAATCTGCATCTTCATAAACAAGAGGATTAATCAAGTTCCTTTTTTGCTTACTGAGCTGCTAATTTTCTTTGAACTTATAGGGATTTTATAGCTTTAAGTTATCTACTTTTTTTTTGCAAAATATATCTGAAAATGGCCCACAAGTTGAAAAATTATGGCAGTGATAGGATAAATGCAGGCAACTCAATGACAATTAATCTCCTTTCCTTAGGAAACCAGGCTAAAAACTAGAAGTAGTTTTGAGCTTAAAGTAATGGTAAGGTTTTTACCCCTCATTCATGAGCACGTCTGTTACTCTCTATCTAAACTACTACAAAAGGAAATTACATTTCTTTTAATATCGTATCTGATCTGGCATTGCATTAACTTAAATAACAGCTTGGTTACTGCAAGTGGGAAAAATGTTGGCTGAAGGTGCAATCTTGATTATTGTGTTCTTACAATGTGTAATAAATCTTGATCTATTTTATTATCTAGGGGTTTCTGTGTATCAGTAATGAGTAAGAATCAAACCTTTTATTTCATAAATGAGGAATCATTCTTTAGAGGTCTACTTATGAAACACACATGACATTTTAATGTTTAGGGCTTTGCGTGTGCGTAAGAAGATGTCTGGAGAGAAGATGCCAGTGAAAATGATTGGTGACATACTGACAGCTCAGCTGCCACACATGCAGCCGTACATTCGGTTCTGTAGCTGCCAGCTCAATGGGGCAGCACTCATCCAGCAGAAGACAGATGAAGTCCCTGAGTTCAAGGAGTTTGTTAAAGTAAGAGATAAAGCAATCGCCATTACTTTTGTGCAGTGTAAATTTAGCTCATCGTTTTATTAATTTGCAAAGCATAGTCTCAGATGGTGCTCCGTGTTGGGACAGAATGAAGAGTCTTCAGCCTTAAGCACTCATTGAAGAAATACATTTTTGTTGTTTGAAGGAATACATTTTTTCAAACAACTATAGTGCCATAAAATACTTCACTTAATAATGGTTTTGCTGTAAAGTGCTGGGACAGGAAGAAGATCTTTTCTTTTACAGACAAGGCAGGTGAAAAATAATGTTGTAAAAGCTGTAAGAAATTCTGCTGCACTGCCACTGCGATCTAAGAACAGATTTAGCTGAGGCGTGGTGTTCATTTGTTGCCTTAGCTTTTCCTTTCTTGGAGGAGCTCATTTTGCAGGGTTTTAAACAAACTGACTAACAACATTTTACCTCTCTAATGTTTCAGAGGTTAGCAATGGATCCTCGCTGTAAAGGAATGCCACTATCAAGTTTTCTACTAAAGCCTATGCAACGGGTAACAAGATACCCACTAATAATTAAAAATGTACGTTCTTTTGCAAAGATGATGTTTTTGATGCTGCTTTGCTCATAGCTGAATTACAGGGTAGTTTCCCTGCTTATGTCAGGATTTGTCACTGTTAGACATCTACTGTGTTAGGGAATGTGAGCTATACTTTTATATTTGATCATACTAGCGAAAATGAGGTAACTCATTTGGCTTCAGTGAAATTACTTCATACTTCCATTAGAAAGAGGTGAAACTTGCACACAAATAGCCAGAAGGCAGTAAATGCTGAATGAAAACTTAAAAATTTAGATAACAGGAGTAACGGGTCGATCTTATGCTCATCTTTGCCTCTTTCCACAGTGTCATTCCCTCCCCTTAGTCTGGTAAATGACATTCAGTGTGCAAGCCTGAATGCCAAATTATTGCAAGTTACCTTCCTGCACAGCTTATATTGCTGGATAACTTACAACCCTTTCCTAACTTTAATTTGTTGCCTAACACCATCCCAAATAATGCTGAACTTGCCCCAAGACTTTTGCAGAGACAAGATATAAATTGGATATTGGCATTTAAGCGTTTCCTTAAACAGTTATGGATATAATCCCATATATGGGTGCAATTTGTGTACTTAATGTCAGAAGAATGAGCAGTGTTCTGATGCAAAGGCTCTGCAGGCAGGCATTCATTTAAGCTGTTCACAAACAGACTGTGAGTTTGCCTCTTATTTTTCATATTTGCCAAGGAGGAAATGAAATTTGGAGGAAATGAAATACTGGCTGGCTCTGATGAAAATAAAGAAATAAAAGAGAAGCATAGGGCTGGCAATATGAATACATTTTAACTGCAGATACCAGAAAAGGCTAATGCATTTTATTTATCTGTAGATAATAGAAAACACTCCGGAAAACCATCCTGACCACAGTCACTTGAAGCATGCTCTTGAGAAAGCAGAAGAATTATGTTCTCAAGTAAATGAAGGCGTGCGGGAGAAGGAAAATTCAGATAGGCTGGAGTGGATCCAGGCTCATGTTCAGTGTGAAGGCCTGTCAGAGGTAAACGAAGTGCTGTCTAGAGTAATGCACGTGTGGGTGCACTTCTCCACCAGTCGGGAAGAAACCATGGCTCACTTACGGCTCTGCATCAGGGGACAAACAGTGTAATTAATCAAGTCAAATAATCTTCAGTCCTTTGTTTTCATCTTTTGTTTGCTCCTGCACGTGATCCTTTATGCTGCTCGTGTTATTGCCTTCTGCGTGATAAATGCTGCTTTTGTTGCCTGGCTCTGGACTAGTACCAGGTTCAACGCTGCAATGTTCAACCACAACTTTCTGGCTTCATAGCTCTTAATAATACCGTGGTTATTGTTCTGCTGTATCTTATCCAGACCATTCTGGAGGGCTTTAAAGCTTATCACAGGAAATACTTTTTGTGATAAAACTTTGTATACATTTTGAAAACTCAAGAATGCTGAGCAAGTCTCTCCCATGACTTCACAGAGAGAATCAGTGCCTCCCATTACATATTGTTTTTTAAGGTAACAAGCTAAGTTTCTATACTGAAACTACAATAAAGCATTGTGTCCATATGTCCTGCAAAAGGATGGGAGGGTATTTTGATGGTCTCCCTATTATTGGTGAAAGTAATAGAGGCAGACAGATCACAGCTTGATTTTCAAAATATGCATTGAGTTGTTTTCAGTTCTAGAAGATAAAAAAAAAAAAAGGTCTGGTGAACTTATTGTCTTGAAAAAATTACATTTCAGCTTATTAAATTCAGAAATTCAGGCCTTTATAAGGAAGCTCATCATCTGGAGAGGCCATTTGCATAGCTGCTGCTAATCCAGGACAGGTCCTCATCAGCTTGGTTCAACTCACAGATGCATGCGTGTGGCAGAGAAACTTGAAAGGAGGCACAAATGCTTTTGGCTTCTCTCTGACTGTCCAGGCCATGCCCTGCACAACTGGTGGGCTGCCTCGAAGTTAATTTTCATGTAGCCTTTCTACGACTTGCACCGCTTATCATGCGCAAGGCAGAGACATTGCTCGTCATCCCTGTGACACAAACTGAAACCAATGTCAGGACTCAAAATTGTATTTGATCTCTTTCAGGGGAACCTCGATTGTTTTACTTTATACAGTGCGTTGTTCTTCTTCTTCTACTTTTCGCAGCAACTCGTATTTAATTCTGTTACAAACTGCCTGGGACCACGCAAGTTTCTGCACAGTGGGAAACTCTATAAAGCCAAGAGTAACAAGGAACTGTATGGCTTTCTGTTCAACGATTTCCTCCTCCTGACTCAGATCATAAAACCTCTTGGCTCTTCTGGCACAGACAAGGTCTTCAGCCCCAAGTCGAATCTGCAATACAAAATGTACAAAACCGTAAGTACCACTCTAACGGTGACAAAGACGGTCAGATGCTAACAGTGTGGATAGCAGGCAGCAGCTCCCATACTGGGTGTGTGGGCAATAACTTTTATATAAAGAGGCATGAAAGCTTTGGCATTTGCTGGGGATTCCAGGGACTGATGACGAGAAAGCTGGTTGTTTGCTTTAGTGAGACAAGAGTAAATGCTTTTGAAGTTTTGCTAAAACAACCTTTTCAGCAAGAGGTCATGTGTACCAGGGGGTAATGGGGAGAGTAGTGCTTGCTGCTCTCTGTGGGAGAGATTGCTATGCTTCATCAGGCTGCTTGCTTACTTCAGGAGAAGTGTTCCCAGACTCGGGAGGCACCTATATCTTCAGTAATAAGAAAACTTTTAATAATGAAATATCTGAAGAAAGATGGGAGGCAGGCGGAAGGGGAAAGATACTGCAGGCACAAGATAAATCTGTTGTAAATTGCTCTATAATTAATGCATCTGTTCAGATATTGTGCAGTAGAACTCTAGCTTTGCCTAATGTTTTACAGCCCATTTTTCTAAATGAGGTACTAGTGAAATTACCCACAGACCCTTCTGGAGATGAACCCATCTTCCATATCTCCCACATTGATAGAGTCTATACCCTCCGGGCTGAAAGCATTAATGAAAGGTAAGTACCTGCATAGGCCATATTAGTACTGAATTTGAAAAGTCTGGTGCAAATGTATATGGTGTACACGTGCTTAGCAGTCTCCAAGCAGTTTATCTTACAAGGCTGGAGAATTCTTTTTGCTTGAGAATACAGTGGTATTCAATATATGAAAAGGAGGGAGAAAAAATGATGCTTCCTGAATTCCAATGATACTAATGGTGAAATGGCTGGGAGGGCTGATATATAGGCCATATTCACAACATTTTATGTTAGCATAAGGAAGCCAAAAGATGCAATTCTGTCTTCTTCTGTTAATATTCGTTTGTGCCTATGCAAGCATTTGTATGGCTGTATGTTCAGTGAGATAGAGAATTCGAACTTGAAGCAAAACCCTACTGAACTAATCCCAATTAGTTTTAATCTGTTTCAGTTCAGACTGAAACAATCAAAGGAATGGCAACCTCAAAACCTCAGCTGGTGATTTTTATCTGTGGCAAGCTTATGGAGAGTGACTACACTGATTTATACTGAAAAGGTTTCTCTACACAAATGTAAGGTCTTGAAAGATAACTTTTGTTAAAAAATGAAAGCTGAAAGTGCAGCATACCCTTTCCCCATGGTATAGACATTGTGTTATGCCAGCTCGCAAATGTATGGCCCCTAAAAATTCTGACGCATAAAAATGTATAAAACATCATTGCTCCCCGCCTGCCTGACAGTGTTATTCATTATTATTTATATGCATGGCTTTTCTTGCAAAGGATGGTACTTTTATGGATAACATTTGCCCTGTGGTATATTGTCTGCTTTTCTATGGCACAGAATGAACAAGCATCATTGTTAGACCCTTAGTGATGAAAATTGACACAGCCTTTTCAACTTAGGCTCTGTTCCACAAATCAGACTATAGCAATAATCATCTGTTCTGCATCAGAGCACTTGCAGCAGTAGTCAGAAACATCTAAACTCTGCCCAGCATTCATCCTACCTGGCAGGAGGAACTTGAGGGAGATGCTTAGGCACCCTCCACGAAACCATCCGTGGAAGGAGCCAGATCTTCACATACTGAACGCCCTCTGGAGGTGTCTGTCTCTGTATTCACTACAGAGAGAACCCACAGGAACTGCTGCCTGAATTTGGGTGATCTTATTAAATGCTTTTACTTATATGGGAGGCAGCCTTTGACTTCCTTTTATTCACCTTTGACTTTCTTTTATACCAGAATTGCTAATAAATGCAGCATTTTAGGTGAGATACCTCCATGTTTTCATTACTCACTTGCTTTTAACTAAGAGCAATGGGAAAAGAACATTAGCATCAACGAATGATTGATTTGCCATTTAATCTTAAAAGACCTTTGTGATCAAAGGCTTGGTGTACTTCTGAAGTTGCAATTTACCATTTAGGGATGAGCTGGAAGACAGAATTGTCCTCAAGTGGTTGTTTTTTCTTGAACAGCTCTCTGTGCAGAACACAGGTAAATGGTCAGACCCAAATCTAGACCAGTGTAAGTAGTTACAATGCTCTGCAGAGCAGCAGCTCTTCATTTTGGGGTCAGAAATGGATCCACAGCTTCTAGATTCTCTCCTTTTTCCTTGACTCAGGTCTGAGGCTCCCTTGTATGTCACAGCAATTCTTCTAAACCCTTGAGGTCCCTTCTTCCATGCTTTTTCTCTGACAGTCTTTCTAGTCAGTCTCTTAAGTATGAAATTATTTCTCAGAAAGGCCTGCAGGGAACCATGATCATTCATCATCTGTGTACTCCATGATGTGTCCCATGGCTCAGAAGGATTTTGGTATGAAACCTTAGGGGTAAAGAAATGCGGCCACCTCTGCATAGCAACATAGTAACATAGCAGAGCATTCACAGCAGTAGTCGGAAACATCTAAACTCTGCACGGTATTCATCCTACCTAGCTGGAGGATCTTCAGCGAGATGCACAGGCTTGCTACACTTGATACTTCCTGTATCTTACTCTTGGGAGACCCAACCTGGAGTATTGTGTGCAGTTCTGGTGTCCTCGACATAAAAAGGACATGGAACTGTTGGAACAAGTCCAGAGGAGGGCCACGAGGATGATCAGGGGACTGGAGCACCTCCCGTATGAAGACAGGCTGAGGAAGTTGGGGCTGTTCAGTCTGGAGAAGAGAAGGCTGCGTGGAGACCTCATAGCAGCCTTTCAGTATCTGAAGGGGGGCTATAAGGATGCTGGGAAGGGACTCTTCATTAGGGACAAGCGGTAATGGGTTGAAACTTGGAACAGGGGAAGTTTAGATTGGATATAAGGAAGAAGTTCTTTACTGTAAGGGTGGTGAGGCACTGGAATGGGTTGCCCAGTGAAGTTGTGAATGCTCCATCCCTGGCAGTGTTCAAGGCCAGATTGAACAGAGCCTTGGGTGACATGGTTTAGTGTGAGGTGTCCCTGCTCATGGCAGGGGAGTTGGAACTGGATGGTCGTGAGGTCCTTTCCAACCCCTAACTGTTCTATGATTCTATGACCTACTGACTTCAAGATGCTAGTTTATTGCAATAAAGAAAAAGGGTTGGTGAAACCAAAGCCTGTTATCTACACCATTTTTTTCTCACCAAGTCCCTCCTGCTTGTGATTCTCTTGAGCATTGTTTGTGTGGTGAGATCTGCTAGCTTGGGATGGTTAAATTTCTGCAGGAGCTATAAATTCCAATAAGATCTCTATCAGGCAGACAGCTTCAATGTCATAGAACCCTTGATGGGGCCAAAGCCTTGGTGGGGAAGGAAGGACACCTTTAATTTTGTCTGCTGTGCTCCAGGGATGAAAAATGGGAATGGTATTTTACAACTTTTTTTCCCTTTCCTTCTAAAGGACTGCCTGGGTTCAGAAGATCAAAGCTGCTTCAGAACTTTACATAGAGACTGAAAAGAAGAAGAGGGAAAAGGCCTACTTAGGTAGAGCATGGGATGAGGGGGTCACATCTTCTGTGGAAAAGTCCACAGGCAGAAAAATAATTTCTCTCACGTCTTCTGTTTCACCACAGTTCGCTCACAAAGAGCAACAGGCATTGGGAGGTTGATGGTGAATATTGTTGAAGGCATTGAACTAAAACCCTGTAGGTCTCATGGTAAGTGCTTTGGGTTTTTCATAATATGCTCTATGAAGAAGACATTCCTATTTGTCAGACTAACTTTGAAGGAGGTTCTGTCCAAAACATGGTTTTGTTTAATGAAGCAATTTTAATAAGCTTAAAATATACACAACTGATTTTGTGCAGTTCAGCAATAGTCATGCAGTTTTCCTCAATAAAGCATTTGTTTCAGACAAACTTAGTTTCCACCACATTAGAGACCATAAGCCACAAGGTCCTGTGAGGCCACAGTCTTTCCCTTGCTTGTTAGCTGTGGCTGTATAAGGGTATTTAGGAAGATCACAAACCTAGAAACCTGATTATTCTCTTCTGTTTGTTTCCATCTCCCCAGGAAAGAGTAACCCATACTGTGAGGTGACAATGGGCTCTCAGTGCCACATTACCAAGACGATACAGGACACCCTCAACCCCAAGTGGAACTCCAACTGCCAGTTCTTTATCAAAGACCTTGAGCAGGATGTGCTCTGCATTACGGTGTTCGAGAGGGACCAGTTCTCCCCAGATGGTACGTAAGGAGCTGCTGTCCTTCTAAGGGCATTTTTCAATTCTCCCATTCTGAAGAGAAGCATGCCTGCTGAGGTAAATCACAGAAACAGAGAATGGTTTGGGTTGGAAGGGACCTTTAAAGATCATCTAGTTCCAGCCCTGGTATTGAACCCCTCTGCATACTGGGAGCCTACTATACTTGCTCCCTCCCGAGTGGAGTCATGTTAGTATCACCACAAGAAGAATCAAGCTTTCTCTGTTTTTCGGGGGGGGCTGGGTGTTCCTTTCTTGTGCAGCTTGACAACAACTGAAGTATGGTGTGCAGCTCTGCTAAGTCTTTAAAAAACTCCGGATGCTGTCTGCAAAAGGATGGGTTTATGCAGGAGGAAGAGAAATGTCTTCAAGTAACTGTAATATGCAATAACAGTGGCAGAAATGAACCCAGGATTCCTAACCCATACATATTTCATAACCTGGGGTAAACATATGGAGCACCGAAGAGTGCATTTGGATTCATAATCTCTCAAGAGGTATTTGAATAGGACTGTCATTCACGTGGCCAGGGCCAGTTGGCCCATTGACCTTGTTGCTAGTGTGATGCACCTCTTGGCTTTATCACCTCCTGAGGGCTTCACACTCTGTTTGAATGTGCAGCAGCCTTTGGCCTTTTTTCTAACATATCATAAAACAAATAAGCTACTGAATTGAGGCAGCTGTCAGTTACATAGTGGATTTTTCTGATTATGAGGCCATTTACTTCTAATGCTGCTGCTCTCTAATGCTGTCTAATACAGTTTAGATACAATCCAATTTGCTGCCAATTGGCTGCCTTCAACTGCAAAAGATATAGTTGGACTGAATACTTGTTTTCTCCTCTTGTGTGTAGATGGAAGCTTAGTTCCTTCTGCAATTTAGCGTTTTATTGCAGCATATACCAGTCGTGTCACTCCTGAGCATGCTGTCTTTTTGCATTTCAGACTTTTTGGGCAGAACAGAGATCCGTGTGGCAGACATTAAGAAGGATCAGGGTTCAAAGGGACCAGTTACAAAGTGTCTCCTTCTACATGAAGTTCCAACAGGAGAAATAGTCGTCCGACTAGACCTGCAATTGTTCGATGAGCCTTAGAAGGAAAGGGACCAATGTTTTCTTTCAGCCTGAGTTCACTGCAATAGGTGTCTGCAGAAGCTGTCACAAAACCCTTACTGGTGTGGTATGAAACTACTGCTTGCCCTTCACGCGTAAGAGGGTTATCAAAGCAAACAGGAGCATCTTTGTGCCTTGATAATTCTCACTGAAAAATGAATCCCAGTTTAGTGAGGAGACCTCCCTCAATTTCTCTATGAGGAACTTGATGTTACGGTTTATGAAACAACCTAGATGTTTGTTGTGCTCCAGTCTGAAAGGCTGGCAAACCACATAGGTTGCTGTGCTTGCTCCAGTTACCCTACTCTTTAATTTATATGAAGAAGGCAACGCTGGTATGTTTTGGAGGCTTTCTGCAGGGTTTTCCCCCTTAAGGAATTCTGTGTCTATTGCTCAGCAAAGTGGCGTGTAAATGTAACGTGAGTGGAAGGAGCAGTTACGCAGTAAGAAGATCTTTGGGGATCTTCATGATGGTACTGAAAAGACTTAGAAAATAAATAGTCTATATGTATAAACAGAGAAGATTCTATTAACATACCACTTCATGATGCACGTTGCCCCTGAAAATAAATTATGTACAGGCCTTCTGCACAGAGGTGAATTGCAGTCCAGAAAAGTCCACCCACTTGGTACCTTTGGAAGTTGCTGTTTTCTGTAGGACTGTAAATGTTTGAACAGTAAGTGAAGGATTAAATGTAGAGCCCTGCTGTATGTTGTGCTATGCCACTTCAATGTTCCTTTCCTGCTGCTGCTTGCCTGTGTGACCACAGATGGATGATCCATCACCTGCAGTGGGGGAATTCACAAAATCACAGCTCTAGCTCTGGAAGCTAATTCCTACCCCACAGAGTCTAGTTTGCAAAGCAATTAGTGGTGACCAGTTATTAAATTGGACCAAGCCTGTGTTTGACACAGTGTCACTAAATTCAGGGCAGCAGCATTGTGTAGCTCACCAAGGTGTTTGTGGGAAGCCAGCATGACCACAGGGTTGGTGGAAGCGATACTGGATGCAGCCAGAAACAGAGTGCTTGTGATGGTGCAGAGTGGGTGACCCCAAAGTAAAAGCCTTGTCATATGGGGGAATGCCAGGGCTTATATATCCATTTAACTCTACAAATACACACACATAGACCCACATCCAGCAAACTTTCCCTGTTTCGCAAAGCACCCAGCTTTAAGCTTGCACTTACGTCTTGTTTCCCTTAAGCACATGTGTAAGTGCTTTGCTGAGTCTGGACTCAAGAGAGAATAGACTTCTAAGAGTAAAATTCCTCTATTCCTCTTTGTTCTCCTTGGATTCATTTTGTTCATGACCTATCATGCATACACTAGTATTTTTGTAAGGACTTTCTTTCCGAATGGGAGGTGTCAGCCTGTTTCATTAGCATGTGAACGTTCTCGTGGAGCCTGTTGTTAGGTTTTGGTGTTCCTTGCATGTCCTTTCAGTACTGGTTTCACCCTTCCTGTATAGGTGGTGTTCTCTAGCACTACAAGTCTTACTGATTTCCATTAGGAAATTAGGATATATTCATAACGGATAGGTAGATGCAGTATGATAGTAAGTGTAAACTGTGCTGGGAAGTGTCTGTGTATTATAATTTCCTAAAAGACCACTGTAATGTTTCAAGCAATGGGAAAAAAAAATCCAAGTATGTTGGAGGGACAACAAAGTTTACATTTCATACTTATCAGAATCGCTTTATTATTTATTTATTAAAGATAGTGTAGAATTTTGTATCAGAAATGACAGACATACTTATGTATTTTTTGAAACAAAACAGAGATACACACTTTAGTTGGAAACTTTCGACTGACCACATTTTTAGAGGGAGTGTAACTTCCTAGGCATGCATTTGTTTACCACTAACTGGCTAAAAACACGATTAAGAAAACTTTAAGTTTCTATTTTTCAATGTTGTTAAGAAAATGGTTTCAATTAAAATCTGTAAATAGTACTAAACCCATGCTTTCCTAATCCCATATCAATACATTTTATGAAATATAATGTATATGAAAATACACATTGTTGTGGTAGGATAAAAAAGAGTGATAAAAATCTATTACTGGAATAACATTAAATGTCATTGTCCAACCTTTTATCGCTGTTCTAATTTTACTCAGTAGCTGTAAATACGGTGAATGTTAATTTCAGTGTTTAGAAAGTAGCATCACGTTTTTACGGTCTCGTTTCACCAGCATGCATTACAGCAACGGCTGAATAGACCTAACAGGACAAAAAAAGACACTGTGTGCAACACAGAAATCTTGGCCATGTTTTCAAAGGGAGCCTCAAGGAGCTGCACCGGCCTCTGAAACACAGCTGGTGCTGGAAGTGGGGAACCCTTAGCTGCAGGGGCTCCTCTGATTGCGACCCTTGTCATGGGCACGTACAATTGCACCATTTGGGGGAATTGTAATGGAACTGAGCACCTTCCCAAGCACCATCACTTGTGATTTCCCACTGACCCTCGATGCAGAGGAATGTTTAACTCCCATTAATGTCAGGAGTCACGCAGATAGGATGATGATGAAAGGCTGGAGTTTGGCTCACCAATATTTAATGAATCCCTCATAATGGGTCTAATCCTAGAGAAAACTTGTCCTAATCCCTCTGTGTCGAGGACAGAATGTATATATGCCCTTAGGGCCAGCTGACTGTGCATCAGGATGTCCCTGTTTTCTTACTGCTCTCCCTCAGAGCTCTGTAGCATACTGGCACTGTTAGCTTCCCAGATGGAACTACTTTTCACTAGTGTTAGCCAAAAGTTCTTAGAAACCCATTGACTCCAGCCTGGTTTACCTTGGTCAGGTATGCTATAGTCTTGCACATTGCTTTGCATTAACTTCATGGCTGTGTGGGCTACAGCTTTCTGCTTTTCTATTCACCATAGCTGCATAGGCTTCCTGCTCATCCAGGACTTACTGCTTTAAGGGACTTTATGCTCTTTACTGAAAGAGAAAAGAGACTCATTCACTGTATTCCTCCTAGTGTTTTCATAGAGCAAACTGCAGTTTCTCATAGGCTTGTTTAAATGCCACCTGTATTGACGAAGGGAGAGGCACACAGCAGTACCTAGGAAGTCAGGTATCTCTTCCTGTCTTTAGAAAGCCAGCTGGCATTACCACAACGTATGAAGGCTGAGCCATCCTCTTATGAGTGCCACATGCTGGCAGTCAGCCCGAACTCGGCTAGTCAGTGCTAACAGTATTTAATACCTATATGTAGATGCTATTTTTCAGATGCTGGTTATTGATATCTCTGAATATCTTCCTAAAATAGCACAGCTCAGCTCACAGGTCCCTTCTCCAGCCCCATCAAGATGTGTGTAAACTTTTCCTAACATAATGCAAAATAACTGTAACAGCGAAATTGAAGCCCAGAAAATGCTTGGATCACATTTTGGATTAAAAAAGCAGATTCATGTAGATGAGCATCCTCACTACAACACAGAGCTTGTAAACCTGTTTTATTCCCTTAGGTACATTAATTTTAACAAGGAGAATAGTGTTTCTCCTTAGTGCTTCCCTGGTTTTAAGTCCTGTAATAGGACTGAGTTAATGGGTCAGAAACTGGAAGGGAACAACACTGCTCCATAGTCTCACAGCAGAACTTCAATTATCCAGGATCCCGAACATCCATAATATAACAACAGTAATAATAAATCCTGCATTTGTCCTCAGCCTGGGAGAGCCACACTGGATTTAGTGCAGCTCTGTGTTTATGCAGGAGTTTGGATGCGCTTTCTTACACAAGTAGAGCTTTTCGGTGTTTGTAACACCCTTGTACACCTCTTTCCAGGAATTCCCTTCTGCGGTACAGGTCTGAAGTGCTTTGGTACTGTGTTGTTTCAAGATCCTTTCACAAGGACTTCATACACTTGTTAACATTGCTGTCTGGCTCTTTGCTTTCCTGGTGCCACCCAGGCAGCTCTCAGGAGCCATCCGGAGGTGCATGGGTCCATGCCCTTTCCATACAGGGGAACCAACTGCACCACCATCAGTGTGCCAGTTTTCTGTCTCTCAAAGGACTTGTCCTTGCAGCATACAGTCTTATGAGGTAGTTGCCAGCAATGCCGTTACACATCAGCAGGGCAGATATCTGTCCTTTCACTTGTATCATCTCCATCACTGCTATGATTGCTCTAAGGATCAGCGTGGTCTTGTTGATCCACCTTGAGAGCTTTTTTTCCCCGTGGCCAGGAGGCAGCCCTTTAAGATATGCCTCTCAGGAAAACCACCTGAGCTCATTTTCCACAGGTGCATCTGGAAGTCATTTTGTTCATGGCAGCTTCAGCTCCCCCCTTTTCCATGGTCCAGCCTGTCACCTGAGCACACACCCCTGCTGTCTTTCCCCTCTGTGCCAGGCTGTGAGCTGAGCCCATAGCCCCTGGTTCATTGCCATTGGGGTCGAGGCTCATGTTTGAGGTCACCCAGGTCCCCTCCCAGACATGATTTTCTCCACCTGCTGAGCCTGTTGCCTCTCTTCAAGCCAAACACTGGCTATGCTGCACAAGTGAGCACAGTGGGTGACTGGAAAACACATCTCACCTCATCTCACTTCCCTGTTCTGCTGCGTTCCCTCTGGGTTTGTCTTCTTTGTACGTCTTGTGAGTAAACTGGTGCTTCTGCCTTGTAACTAATTAAGTCCTTTGCAAAGCATCACTCTTTCCTTCCCTTAAACCTCAACTCCCAGAGCTCAGCTGTGTGGAACAGTGCTGTTTTAGGGACTCCTTTCCAGACTTCTCCCTCGCAGCTCATCTGGTAGCTGCCATTTCTGGCGCAGCCCCTGGCTCAACAAGCACTTCAGCAGGTGCTTAACTTTAATTCGTGCCCCACTTTAGTGCAAAGGCAACATAAAGACAGCCAGGTGCCTACATGCTTTGGTGGGGATGCATGGAGGAATTCAGAAGCCTTGGATAAAGTAGAATCTACATTATGAGCTTGATTCAAGCACTGTAAGGGCTGGAAAACTGCAATAGAGCATCAAGCAAAATGTCAAGATCAAGGTAAAATGCATAAATAGTTCATAGTCTTTGCAGTTGTTTTCTTATCTTTCTGAAAGTGTTTTTAGCCACTAAACTCACCTGAACTGTATCTACTGGGCAAATCAGAATTCTCATACTTACAGACCGTGACCCACTGGGAAGTGCTGTAAAATAAAAAGCCACTAAGGCTGACCTCAGCCTTGGAAATACTGAGTACTTTGACAAGTATGATGCTGGTAGAAAGCCAGACTGTAAAGCCCTGCATGCAGCCGGTGAGTTGACTTGGGCACCTTGAAAGACAGAGCATGTCACTGAGCTGCCACTAAGCCAAATAGCTGATAAATTACTGAACTCTTTTCTAGATGCACATAATTATTGTGTATTTTCTCAACATGAGTTTTTATGAGGGGACTTTTTAAATGTTCATTTTATGATTTTTTTACCCTTTAAAAAGAAATGAATCACTTTTTGTTACATGTGAGTAGGGCTGGGGGGGACATTGTGGATAATGCAGTTTTTGTAATATTATTAAATACATTTTCAAAACTAAGATGTGACAAGTCCAAACTTCTACTGCAACAGCAGTATCATGTTTCACGCTGCTCTGCTTGCTACCGTGATACTTCAGTGTATTCAAATCCAGCAGTCAGAACCCTTGAAACACACAAAAGCTGGGAATCAGGTTATATCACCTTAGCTTTGAGGGGCGTGCTTTATACATACATACCACATGTATCCTGGTGTTTGTTTAGCCCCAGCACTCTTACCCTACATGCGTATTGATGTATCTATAATTAAGTACATGCTTATATATATATATGTGATTATTTGTATATATACTACAAAAACACAGCTATGTTGTTGTCAAATACTGAGTAAATCTAACAGAAAAGAGTTTATAGGAACCCAGTTTTGTTTGTTCATTTAAATATTTTAAAATAGGGGCTGTCCTTGGGAAATTATTTTTCTGTACATAGGAGGATATATTTAGGACCTAATTTAAGAGAATAAAGAACTGCAGTAAGAATATGTTAAACTAGCCTAGTTGCTTGATACAGTTGTCAAAGGCTCTGCTGCAACTGTAGATGAATTCCTTGTGCTGCTTATAAACCTGCAAAGTGTCCCTAACCCTGGATTTAGCAGCTGGTTCTGGGATGGTCAAGTGTTGTGCAAGTGAAGGGAGCTGGTGCTTTCTCCAAGCCCCGTGTCAGACCTGCAGCCAGCAGCTCCTGACCACTGCAGGGAGCACGTGTGGAAGGAGAGGGCTGGCATGCAGGGGAGTAAGGGACAAAGGGGAGAAATAGGGGCAGAGCTAAAAAGTAAGAGCTTGGTGAGCAGTGGGATCTTTGCCTCCCCCCCTGAAAATGTAGGTGGGTTTCCATTGGGTGGTGGATTGGAGGGTAAATCCCCCCCAGCTGTGGTGGCTGCTCCATGGGAATGGCCTCATGGTGTAACCTGCTCTTGCCAGGAGGAAGAGGGAAGGTTGCGTGTGGAACCATAGTGCTGGTCCTGGTGCTTGGCCAGCTCACTGCTCCTGCTCTCAGTCCTTCCTTTCCTATCTCACCACATCCTTCAGGCTCTCCTAGGTTTGCACCCTGGGGATGGGCTTCTTTTGGAGTGACCAGGCCTGGGGTCCGTAGCATTCATGTGATCCTAAAAATCACAAAGATATTATAAGATCTGGCCAAACAGGAGAAAAAGGTACTTCTTTATTTTTTTTCCCCTCAGAGAAAATGCAATTAATTTGTATTGTTCGTTTTTGTCACATCGAACTGTTCGACAGTAAAACATTTATACCGTGAAGTTGTCTTCTTTTGGTTTTCAAAGCATCTGTAATAGGTGTAATGAATAATTATGAATCAGACAGCGCTGTTTCTAGCAAGACAGTTCCAACTGTACTTTGATTGCTGCGAACGTCACGTTTCCTCAGCCACGCTTAGTTAAATAATTTTATTATCAGACATGGTCCTCTTAAGCAAAGGCTCTTAAAATGCGTTCACCTGCTTAAGGAATTGTGCTGCTTCCAAGACTGCAGTCACCACGGTGAAAACTGCCCATGCGGTTTTAGGCTGTGCAATTTGTTTGGCTCGGATGAGACTGTAGTTGTGTGAGTGAAATTATGCAAGAATAAATCCCTTTTTCTTTTCAAGTTTAACTGTGTGCTGTTACGTTCTTGAGAAGTGCTGAAGAACAGTGATATGGGGTCATACACATGAAGGAGATCTTCTGGTGAGTATTTTTGACAAAAGGGCTACACAGGTATAAGCAAAGTAATAGTTACTATTTCAGGGAAACTACAGCACTTAATGTCATCCCATATGTGCCACTTTTCATCTTTGTAATGTATTGTTTGCATTTTCTTTCAGATTTGAAAGGTGAGAATTAACCAAATCTATAGTAAGACAGCAAAAATATAAATTACTAAAAAATAATAATTGAAAAGCTAGCCACCCCAAAACCCCCCAAAACAGTTAAAGGCACTTGCTTTACAGGCCAGGTGCCATTACTCTGTGGTATCAGCACTTTACAGAGGCCCTGCTCTGTGGCCAGGCATGCCAGCAGCAATTTGTGTGCTTGTGGCTCTGCTGCCGAGAACATAGCAAGTCCCACACTGATCTCCCCCCTGATTTTTGTTAATAATTGCTGGATTTGGCCAGCTGCCCTGAGAGCAATACCCTCGGTATCCTGTTAAGCAATGGGTGCCCATGTCTAGCTCAGCACATGCCACACCTGCACCTTGAAAATGTCCTTTTTTTCACAGCAGTTTTGGGGATGGGTTGGCACAGCAGGACAGTGCTGTAGCCAAAGCCCAGTTGGCAAATCACAGCTGCTGTAGCAGTAGGTGAGGTGGGACAGATCAGGAAGCTCACCAGATGTTTGGGGCTGCTTTATCCAGGCCAGGGCCAGCATCTGCATGGTGCTGAGCTCTGGAAAACTGTATTGCCTCAGGTACAGCTCGATGCATTCCACTGCTGCTACGGAACAGCACCAGGAATGGAAAACAGGGTGCTAGAGACAACTTTGGGCCTTCCACTGCCCCATGGCCCACTCCACCTGTCCCTCTGCCCTGCCTCTCATCCTCCAGGGGGGCCCAAGCTCAACCCCCCACCCCTTGCCAGTGACCCGTGGAGCTTCAGCATTCCCTCACCTTCCCCAGCACAAGCCCACCTTGCCACTCCCACTGCCTCCAGAACCAGCACTTCATTCTGCCTTGGACCTTCCCATTCCCAGCCCAGAAGCCAAGGGTGGCCTTTACCCCTCCTGGCAGGAGGCATGGCCAGCAACCCCAGGCTGGCCCCCTGGGGAATACACTTCCAGCGAAACCCCAGGTCTAAACCGTCCCTCCCCTGCAGGGATACTTGTTTATACCAAAATTCTCTTAACAACAAAATCAAACGTGGCTGGTGAACAGGCTCCAATAATGCCACTGAAATGAGCTTGTGCAGCAGGACTGCTCCTCCGCTGGCCTGACAATAGCCTGAGCAAAAGTTTTCCCTGGTGACTGGCAGAACCTCACAGCAGCAGTGACCCCATTTATCAGCTCCTACACTGTTACTCTCCATTTCCCTCTGAGCAACATCTACCTGCATTCAGGGCAAGCGACATTTTCAAGCTGGGTTATGAAATGTTCAGCAAGAACTAAGTGAAACTCACTGCAGCTTCACCTCTCTCTCTCAGTGCTGGTTTCTGAATCAAAACACTTCACACCATCTATTCAAGAAGTAAGTTTATTGTCTTCATCTGACTGGTTTCACTGCGAGTGACAAGGACAGTGTGCTAGGCCATCTCTCTCATGATTTTGGTGAGTTTCTGGATCTTTGTCCTTGTGGACATGTCCACGTATTTCTCCCCAACGTTGACAATCATGCCACCAAGGATGGCTGGGTCAGTCTAAAGGAGAAACATTGAACAGAAATTCTATTAGCAAAACTCTGTGAGCTCAGCACGCAGTTTTTACACTGGTAAAACAAAGAAAAAAGAAAGCTTTTAAAAGAGCCTTAAAATACCTTTGCAGTCACTGTATTCCAAAGTTAAGATTTTTAGTAACTAAAGCATCATCAGGAAAGTACAGATTATGTATTTCAGCAACTGGATTCAGTGGAATTATTATTTTAAGATCAAGGAGATGAACCCTATCTTAACATGAACCTGCTGAGATTTATTTACAAATCAAAAATTCAGACCTTGGTCTCCAGCTTCAAGACCTCTCCCTTAGCCAAGAATCCATTCAGAGCACTTTTCAGCTCAGTAAGGCTGGCATCATCCAAGGGCTGAAAAATATGAACAGAAGACAAAGAAAATGAAGGACTTGAAAATATCCAAGAGACATAATGAGAACCCAGATTTTCTCTTCAGATTCTTCTAAAGGCAGACATGTGCACCAGGCAGGGAAATTAAGCAGCCTTCTTGAACAGAAAAAGCTGAAGGACAGCACAGAAACACCACAGTCACTTTGTGTCCCCTTAATTTCATAAACATTGAGTTGTTTGTGCAAACTTCTGATGCTGACATCTTCAGACGGCATCAAGAGTCCGTACCTGCCAAAGTACACATCTGATGGAAAATCCTGATCTGTCTCTTGAAAAGAAACACGATTTCATGTAAAGCACTGGGGAGTGACTGAGGACTTGACGGTGAGCTCCAGCCTGGCTGCAGGCTTGCAGAGTGCTCCTGGCTAAGTACACCTCTCTCCATCACCACAGGAGCTTGATCTGGAGGTTCCTAACTAACCTGTGCAGTGGTGACTGTGCACACCACTTCTCCTCGGTATGCACTCATGATCTTCCCAAATGCAGAGACAATATCTGGTGTGTAACGCAAGCGACCATTTTCAGCCAGCAAATCTGGAAGAGGCAGATGAATTGGAAGGGTTTAAAGCTAGAAGCAGTTTTGGTTAGCTAACAGTAATAACAAGTAGCCTTACATGTTTTTCTGAAGTCAAATGGTTACTCACTCATCAGGTTGACAGTAATAGGGGACATCTTCTCTTTTGCTAAGGCATCGTTCACAGCTTTCTGTTTAACTGCGCTCTTGGTGTGAGGGTTCATGACAACATTGGATAGCTTGGGGTCTTTCAAAAGGGTCTAATAAGACACACAAACACACACAGACAATGTACTGAAGGCCATGAGTTTCTAGGCGTTACAAGGCCCAACTGGACTACCCAAAGCAAGCAACAGTCATTCCTTGCGAAAGAATGAAGAGGTTTGAAGCTGATGGGAAGTGAAACAACGGCTCCACGTGTAGCTCATTTACAGCAGGTTTTTTTTCTTAGAGCTGATGTTCCTCCTGCATCTCTTCCAAGCACCTTAACAGTGAGTGGGTGTGCACTGCAGGCAGGACGCAGGCCTGGCCAGCTCCGTGGGAGTCTCAAAACGCAAGAGCCGAGTCCACCTCCCTCCTAGCAAGCAACAGCCTCGTTGCCCCCCACCCCACGTGCGAGCTTCAGCGAACATGAGCTGTAGAATCCCTTACCCACACTCGGCCCAGCTCCTTCTCCACCTGCTCCAGCTTCTTCTGCTTGGCGGCGGCGGAGTACAGCGCGGTGGCATAGCGCCCTTCCAGCCCGTACACCTGGATGGGGGGCTGAGGGCGAGAGACCGGGCGGGGGCTCAGATCGGCCCCGAGCCGGGGACCCGGCTGCTGCCCGCCGGTGGCCCTCCTGCTCCCCTCACCTTGACCAGCTTGGAGACCGGCCTCGCCGCCGAAGTGCTCAGCTGCCGCACCTGCGGGGCACAAAACGGACGGAGGGACCAGGCTGGGAAATGGGTATGGGAACACGCGCGACATGCCATGCCGTGCCGTGCCGTCCCTTCCCGCCCCTGTCCCCACATACCACCGCCGCCCCACAACCTCACCTTCAGGGAGAGCCCCGCCACTGCCGCCATCTTCCCCGGCCTGCGCTCAGGGTCACCGCTGCGGCGGGGCACTGAGCATGCGCAGCTGCAGCCACCGCCCCAGCCGCTCATCTATCCGCAGTCCTCTTACACAGTGCCTGCCGGGAGCTGTAGTGCCCGAGGGCGGGCAGGCCCCAGCGTCGCCTCACGCCCGCCCCGCTCCCGCGCTGCCAGCTGCCCCTCTCCCCAGCGTCCTCCGAGCTCCAGCTGAAGCCCGTTCTCACACCCTGGTGCTGAAGGTGGCTGTCCTCAGGGTCTGGCGGTGCGGTATGTGTGGGGGTGAACCAGAGTGACCAGGGCAGTGGGTCCCCTGGAGTGCCTCGGTTCAGCCTGGGGCTGTCTTGCACACACAGTTACACCCAGCCCCTCAGCTGGCCATGGCTGTGACTATGGCTTTGCAGGTGGAAGGCCTATGGGATGGGAAGAGCTCCAGGAAATCTTAAAGGCCTTGCAGGCTGCAGTGGCCCACCTCCCTGTCTCATTACTGTAAGGGTCTTGAAACTCTCACACCCATGCACATCCCTCTGTTCAGGTGCACCAGGAGAGAGTGTCCCATGAGTTCTTCACAGAACCACAGAATCAACCAGGTTGGAAGAGATCTTTAAGATCATCAAGTCCAACCGTTACCCCAGCACTGCCAAGTCCACCGCTAAACCATGTCAGTGAGGGCCTCATCTGCATCGTTTGTGAACACTTTCAGGGATGGTGATTCCACCACTTCCCTGGACAGCCTGTGCCAATGCCTGAGCACCCTCTCTGTGAATAAATTTTTCCTAATATCCAGTCTAAACCTACCCTGGTGCAGCTTGAGGCTGTTACCTCTTGTCCTATCGCTTGTTACTTGAGAGAAGAGACCAACACCCACCTCACTACAACCTCCTTTGAGGTTGTTGTAGAGAGTGATAAGGTCTTCCTTCTCTTCTCCAGACTAAACACCCCCATTTCCCTCCGGTGTTCCTCATCACACTTGTTCTCTGGACCCTTCATCAGCTTTGTTGCTCTTCTCTGGACCTGCTCCAACACCTCAGTGTCTGTGTTGTAGTAAGGGGCCCAGAACCAAACACAGAATTTGAGGTGCAGACTCACCAGTGCACAGGGGGACAATCACTGCCCTAGTTCTGCTGGCCGCGCTATGCTGACACAGGCCAGGCTACTGTTGGCCCACCTTGGCTGCCTGGGCACAAGCTGCTCATGTTCAGCTCCATCAATCCCCACCCCCAGGTCCTTTTCCAATGAGCAGCTTTCCAGCCACTCTTCCCCAAGCCTGGAGCATTGCATGGGGTTGTTGTGGCCCAAGTGCAGGACCTTGCATTTTGCCCTGTTGAGCCTCACACCATTGGCCACAGCCCCTTGACGCAGCCTGTCCAGATCCCTCTGCAGAGCCTTTGTGTCCTCCAGTAGATCAATGTTCCTGCCCAACTTGGTGTTGTCTGCAATCTTACTGAGGGTGCACTCGATCCCCTCACCCAGATTATCAGTGAAGATGTTAAACAACACTGGCCTTAACACTGAGCCCTGAGGGACACTCCTAGTGACACTTTCAATGGAAAGAGTGTCAGCTGTGTTATTTCCTCACAGACATTTCTGCTGCCCTCTAACGCAGTGAAACTACCTCTGAAATGCAATGAGCTATTTCCTCCCCTCAGATAAACTAGATCCGAACATGTCCTGGGGCAAAGACACAATCTTCCAGGTAAAGCATAGGGTAGGCAGCTTGACTTTGGCAGTCTCTGTGTGACCTTGAGCAACTAAGATCCTGCCCACTAATGAACTATCTTGCACTGTTAAACTCCTTTTCTCCCTAATTATTCTTTTTTTTTTTTGTATGAGAAGATAAAATGCCTGCCTGGTTTGAGGAGCTGTTACCAGATTTAAGTAATTATTTCAGTGGTGTGAGTAGCTCAGTTGGGTACAGCTATTGAAATACAAAGCATGGCATTAGTGAAAAGCAGGGATGGCTTTCAACACTAGATGTTGCTGTTGCTACAAATTGAAAGCGAAGTGATCGCTTCAGCTATGTCAAACCCCAGAGAATTAGAGTAAAGCTCTTTAGGAATACAGTTTACCATCCCACCAGAAATATGTCACCAACAGACTTTATCCTGGATGTCAGAATTTAGTTCCCTCTTCTATCTCTGGCCGTATGTACTGTGTTGTCATTCAAAGGCGCAAAGTATAGTCCATGATCGGTTCAAGCCTGGTGGAACACCATTGTTCTCAATAACTTTTATAACTACAGTGCTAAGAACAGCATATTTAAAATGCAGAAAAAAAATGTTTTTCTTTAGCAAAACATCAAACTTATCTATTTTTTATTTGTGATAATGTGCATGCACTGAAGTTTTGGAATGATGCAGAGAATGGATTTGTCTGAAGTGGGGTTCCATATCCAAAATTTTGTTAGTGTAATTCTGAAGCACTCTGTGATCTTGTAGCATTTTAAATGCACATGGAATCATGGCTTATTGAGGCCAGTCAAACCACTGAATGCCGAGGGTACTTTAATGAACTAAGGAATGGGTCAAATCCTGGTAGCGCTTTCAGGAATTAAAATTAGAGCACCTCTCACAGGTTAATTTTGGGCAAGTAAAATGCCACAGGTATTAAACAGTTTGTACCTTTATGCCTTATACTGGAGGGAAAGTTTAAATCCTAATAAAGCCTGTTCTTGTATTTGGATTCCTGTTATAATAATGGATTCCTCCATCATCATTGTATGGGTGTTTTTAAGAGTTACTTTTCATCTAGAAAGCAATTAAACTCCCCATACTGCCAGTCACTAATTATTTGACATTTACCCCTGTCTCTGATTTCAATTTGTTCACCTAGTGAGCACTTGAATATTTACAAGTTCTTCCATGAGAAGCACCTGAAAGAATATTTACTTGTGGGTCTGCCACTTCAGTGCTTGAAGGACTGAAACATTAATGCATTCTTTCATAATAAATGTGGTGATATTATAAATGTCATATTTCTCTCCTGTTGAGACAGACTACAACTGAAATCACACAAAACTTTTTATTTTCCTTTTATTGAGAAATTTTGAAAATAACTGGTTTGAGTTTAGGTACTTTTAGATGCATTCTTGTTTATACTGAAGATACATGGACTTCACGCAGGCATAAGAGCTGCAGAGTTCACTGTAATCAGCACTTTTACGTCTCTAGAAAGAATGTGATGATCCTTCAACTGTGATAGTGGTGGGATGTGTTTGATGAGGGCCCAACTGCATGAGATGCCACAGAACGTGCAGCAAGACTAAGACCATTCCACAGATAATTTGCAACATGTAGAGGTAAAAAGGAGATGAGATTTGTAACAAGACATCTGGGGTCCTAACAGTGATTAGAGCATATCAAGTCAGTGCCAAAAAACATGCCAAACTTACTCTCCATCAGACTATGGTCAGCTCCTTTAAAAAAAATCAAACCAAAAACCACTGCTTATAAAAACCTCTAGTAATTGTACTAGTGACCCAAAAATTTTAAGCAATGCTGCAAACACTGAATACTTTTCTCCCTTACCTTGCAACTCACCTGAAACATGAGCTTTTGGCCTGTTTTGGATGCTGTTGTGCACCTGCTAGTCAGTAATTGTACCCGGCTGTTTCCCTTTGGCTGAGCCTGGGATTGTGCATGGGAGAGTCCCAGAGGAGCCAGGGTGTAGCTGCAAACAAGTTCCTGACAAGTTCCTCTGTAGAAAGTTTATCTTATTTACAAGAAGTGGAGGAGTTTTCCTCTCCTGGTCTTGAGCTGAGCTCAGAGAATGTCACACAGAAAAGTTACGACCAAACTCCCCTCCCCATTGCTACTGTTTTTGTTCCTGCAGCTGCTGAGGGAAAGTTGTTGTTGTGGTTTTTTTTTTTTCCAGTCTCCCAGGGACTGCCCTTTATCTTCCACAGGAACAGTTGGTACTTTTGCTGAATCTAATTCACCTGGTTGTTTTCCATACCTCTGCTCCATAAGCAGTTCCGCTCTGGCAGGTAAGTTCAAGTGCTCTGTCATGCTGACTCCCTGGGGACTAAGCCTTTTTACACAGTGACCCACCCACTAAAATCTTTCTGCCTGGGGAGGATCTGGCTCTTTTTCCCTGTAAGAAGAGGGTTTTCCATTCAATGTTCAATGTCAAGGGACAGTAAACATTTCTTCTCCCCCCCCCCAAAAGGGGAAGAATGATTGTAAAACCACAAAAATGATTAGGCTTGTTCAAAATAGGAGCAGGAACAGTACTAAGTGAGTTAGGCAACTGAACTCACTGACCTTGGCATCAGAATACTCTCGTATTTGCAAAACCAAGTACCTATGCCTATGTTTCTTGTCCTCCAAGGAGGTTTAACTCTAGCATTCTCACATGATAAAATGATTAATTGTTATGATATTATTGTGATACTTTTGGGGTTCTCATGGTGTTCTAGTTTATTTTCCATGCTACCATAGTAATCTGTTATAAAAGGGGTAGAAAAACATAAGTAGGTGTTTGTAGTTTCCTTGGCAAAATATCTACACTTTTTAAGTGTAGACTTACAAAAAAACCCTACACTCTAGATAACCTAGAAAGCTTGAAAAAATAATTTAAGGGTAAGCTATGACATGATTTTTGTAGGTTGGTGAAATAAGCACTGATCTGCAAGGCTTTATGCTAGAAAAAGTGATGTGGGCTCACTTGGACATTTGACTGTTTTAGAGGTTGTCCGTGAAATATCAAGGGTAAAAAGAACTGGTTTGGGAAAATATGTGAATAATAGACATGCTTTGGTGTAGATAGTACTAATAGCTGAGCTTTATCATTTTACACAATGGCAGAGGAGCAGTTAGAACACTGCTCTGCGACTAGGGAGATTTGGGTTCTATTTTCAGCTCTGCTTTGGGCCTGCTGATTGGCTTCTAATTATTCTGCACCTCAGTTCTCCCATCTGTAAAAAAAGCAAGAATGAGACCAACATCCTTTTGTAAACAGTTTTAAATTGTGTTGTTGCAGCACACTTTGTTAATAGCAATGATATCTTCTCGCACATGCTGTCATTAAAAAAATTACTGTAAATTCACAAATGTCAGTCAGACTGTGGTAATGTGCGAGTGGCTATGGAGAAAATAACAAAGAGGAGATTCATAGTGCCTGCTCCAGCACTGCTGTGGAAAATGAGGTGTTAACATAAACTCACATCTGGAGTCAGAATGTTAACATACATAGTGAATTAGAGGTGCTGATCCATGTTCTTGAGGTCTGTCACAGAAATGTCCACTGACATGGCAGAATCAGCAGAGATTATTGGCTGAGCAGATTTGGAACATGAACCACCTTTTCATTTAGGACTGAAAGTGGCCTTTCAAGTGGAAGACCTCTCTTACTTCAGTTTAAACTTGGGCCAGTATCTGCCCAGTTCGTAGCACAGTAGATCTCCAAAATACTCAGAGGTCAGAGGTATTTCTGCAAAGCTGAGACCCCAGCCCGCCATCCACTCCCCACATGTAGATCTTTGTGTCTGCTTCGAACTGAAATTAACCTGTCTTTTGCATCGATGCAAGCATCTTGCCCAGTGAGCGTATTGCAGCATTTTGTGTTAGATAGATGCCTCAGCAGATTCTGGTTGCATGTTAGGGCTACAGCTTACTCATTACCACAAGAGGGAAGCCAATACTAATATTATAACTTTCTGCATGTATTACCTATGGTTATTGTGGCAAGGTTTTTATCCATTTCAAGGCTGTTGCACGTCTCCTCTTTCCTTCTAGCAAACTTGCATTTGATCATATGTCAGAAACTAAAGAACATTATTCCACATTCCATTTGCTCAATGTTCTGTGAAATGAATTTCATGGATTTGCCTATCATCTTGTTTGAATGGCAAATACATAAAGCTGAAACAGAAAGTTGGTACAGAACTAAGCTGGTTGCTTTCTTAGTGAATTTGAACAGTCCCACATGCAAGTAAGAGGAAGTTTGGTGGCCATGGGACTTGAAAAAATAAAGATGTTTTCCCTCATTTGGATGAGCATGAGAAATTGAAGATTATTCTAGAAGTCATAGACATAGCTATTTCTAGTAGTTCTTACCCCATAGTAATGACAAATTAATTCAGCAAGTCTTCTGACACTTGTTAGCCTGTTTCACAATCTATGTGGGCATCTTCTTTATGAATTCATTTATTATGGCAAACCTGGTCTCATTTACTCTGCTGCAAACCAGAGTAACTTTGCTGATTTCAGGAGCTTCATTGAATCACTTATCATGTGGTGTGGTATCTGTGAGAGTCACCCTTGTTCAAATCACATGCTGAAGGCTTCAATCTGATAGGACGAGATTTGGCGTTACATTTAATTTTGCAGTCAGACGTTGAAAAAGGTTTTTGTAAAGTTGTGAAAGCAGTGCTATTGCAAACAGGGATTTTTAAAATAGTCTGGGTGTAACACTGAATTCATCAAATTTCTTTGGTTGATGTTTTCCTGTGTTCTACATTGCTGCAAGATATAAATATAGAAGAGTTGCTGTTCAGAAGGTTTCTGTAGAGCATTGCTGACATAAGACACTGGTTAGAGATCATAATTCTTAGTGTTTGGAAGTCATGTTTTTTGAGGAACAGCAGCAATGTGAAGTCAGAAGCAGTGCAGAAAATCATGTATGTTGAGGCTTCCTATAAAGACCCCTAGGGTGTTCCCTGCAAGTGCAGGAGAGAAAATTAGGACAAGGTTACGAAAGTCACAGACATAGATTGCAGTCCCAAAGGACATTTGCATAACTGGCTTCTTTGGGTTGTTTTTTTTTTTCTGGTTTTGTTTTTGGTTTTTTGTTTAATATTTAGGAGCATTTTTGATATTTTGTTCTCCTCACCACCCTCACCCTCTCCCTTTACAGCAGTTATACCTTAAAATGCTTTCCTAAAAATCCTGCTGGTCTCAGAGAAACTGTCAAGCTTAAATGAGGAAACATAGCCAGAAATATTACTGTTACCCAAGTGGAGAGACACTCTTCACAGACCCTCGTGGTACGCTGTTGTTCAGGTATTCCTGAACCTATTCCAACCCAAACCATTCTATGGTTCTATTCGTACACTACTTTTCTTTCTTTTTTCCGTCCAGTGCTGTTTTAGGCCCCAGTCCTGTGTGTATATATGCATGCATTTAACTCTAAGTACATGAGCAGTCACACTGCCTCCAGTGAGAATATTCACATGACTAAAATCATGCACTTGCATATGGGTTTCCTGAATGAAGGGCACAAAAGGAAATAGCCAGGTTAAAAATAATGAGTTGGTTTTGTCCCTGATGTAATGCTTTTGACACTAGTGGAATTATACAGAGCTGAAATGGATCCAGTATGTCCAAAGAACTATCTCCAGCTCTCTCACCTGCCAGTTTCCATATCTATGTTTATAGAGTAATAAAATTCAGTCCTCCTTTCCCTGTGCTTGGGTGGCTGAGGCTGAGGGGGGAATTCAGATTGCTTTGCACCGGCAGATGCTGCTTTCCTCCAAGACAGTATCTCCCAGTTCCCATGTGGTTTTGCCATGTAGAGATGTTATTCACATGGAGCTTCACCAGAGCCTGTAATTTGCTGTTGCATGGTCATTGTCAGTGCCACAGAGGGAGGTCGGGGTGGCTAACAACAGAGCAGGTTGTGTCTGTTCTGCCACTTACCTGCTCCTGTCCGAAGCTGAGCCATTCTGTGGCCTTAGCAAGAGCTTCTGATCTTGGAGAGAGAGCCCCTCTTGCCTCAGTTGATGCTTCTAGGGTGCTTCTTTTTGTCTCCTGCACCAGTGCTGCTTTATTCTGTGTGGAATATGCATTATTAAATGCTCCAGAGGAATGCTCACACTTGGAAACACCTGGCATGTAAACATTAAAAAAAAAAAAGAAAAAAAAATATTTTTAGGCTTAGAAGAAACCCCTCTTAAAAATATTTCTACCTCCTTCCTGTGGCTCTCCTGCCCCATGCCCACATGGTGTTTGGGAGTCCCCAGACTGTGCTACTGTGAAGCTCTGACCTGGGACCTGTGTGAGACTGAACTCACACAGGTCGGCTGCTGTGCAGTCTAATGTTTCCTCCAGATCACCAAAAGCATATGCTCATACCTGCCTGCTAACCCAAATACTCACTAACATGGGATAGATAGACCTCTGAATGTGAAAAATTAGGGTGTCAGGAGAGGGAGAAAAAAGAACCCACCCCAAAACACAACGCTGAATAAACAATCTCTAGCATCCAGGGCTCATGACTGCTTTTGACAAGATCTATCTTTAGTTATAATAGTGAGTCACATCATTGTGATCTGACTTTACGGTTAGTTTGAGGTATGAGCCAGGCCATGGGATTGAGAGCGAGAGCATCATGGGATGTAGCTGTAAAATTCCACTACTCGCTACTCTCTAAATCAGGTTTGAAGAGCATTAAGAAACAGGAAGCGTGGGGGTTGGGGGGGAGGTATTTTTTCAGCAGAAAATTACTGCGGCGCACGGTGCATTGTGATGCAGTTCATCAGAGCAGGGAGAATAATAGGGGAGACGTATCAGTGATCGGAGATGCCCATAATAGTCTTAAGCAAAGCACACCTCTCTCTACATCGCTCTGTGTGCAAAGTGTCACGTCTAACCCACCCCACCAGCCACTACAAGCTAATGCAGGATTTTCTTGGATGGTGCTGCGTTGCTTAGCAACATTGCTAGGCAGCATGCTATACATCACGCACCGTGCTGGCTACTATGGTGTGGCAGGGCGGCTGCCAGTTATTTTTCTCTGCTATAAAATATTCATTTTCTGCTCGCCAGCAGATGCTGCACCGAGGAGGTTGAGGGATGCTGCCTCCCAGGTGGACACGTGCAGCTCCTGGCGACTGTAATGGGAATCGCAACCAGCCCCAGGCTGAGCTGAGCTCCAGGTATATAAGATGTGGGCATGATTCCCAAGATATAAACACCTGCCATGCCTGAGATGGGATACAGGTTGGCTTTAGCATAAATAAATAAATAACGAGGCAGTGAAGGTGATGTGACAGACAGAATAATACATGTAACCCACACCACTCCTACCCACTTTTTTCTTTGACTGGCATAAACAACTCCTGGTATGAGAACTGTGTGTTTGTGTACACAGAAAGAGGGACATTTACTCGACATTCTGCCATAATTCTGAGGCTCATCCATACCACAGCACTGTTGGATGAGACATATCCAATAAATGCCAGTAGTGTTTTTTGAGACTGATGAGTGTGATTTCAGTGGAGTCTGCCTGCCAAGCCCCCTCCCCGAAATGATTGCATAACGAGCTGTTGCATGCGCACACACACAAAAAGAGAAAACCAATCCTATTCTATAAGACGCTGAGGTGTTTTTACAGAAGGCAAACAGCAGAGATCCTGGTTCCCAGAGCTATGGAGAAGATGGAATCTGCAGCTCACTTAGGTGTGTGGACCCAGAACTAAGAGCTGTCTTGTCTGAGGGCAAAAGAGACCCCTACAAAGGTTCTACACAGGGCAAGATTTGAATAGTTCTGAAATCTGTGCGCCTAAAATGTTGTTGTTGTATTTTTTTTAAATATCATTACTGATACTGTCAGCAGGTGGCTAGAAGGGAGGGGTGCAAAAGAGCTGATAAAAGGCAGCAGATAGTTTCTGGATCTGAACAATGTGTTTTAACTCTGCACATCAGCGGACAGACTCATTGTTTGAGCCAAGCAAAGGGGGAAGCAAGAGGGGAAAACCACACTGTCAAAATACACAACGGTTTGTGAGATGAACAGCTGCGTTACCCTTCGTTTACACTTGCAGATATGGCAGCACTGATGAAGTCAGCAAGACTGTGGTTTGTACGACAATTATTTTTGAAGGGATCAGGAATTCAGTTTTAGCTTAACCCATCCTACTGTAGGCACATCTTGGGATGTATGATGGAACCAGAAGAATCAGACTTTTCTACAGCAGAGGGGTATGTCTTCACATTACAAATCCTGGAGGAGTACAGCAACTGCAGTTTGATACAGAAACTGTTCTTATGGTGTTCAATGGCATTTGTCCAACAGCAGAACAAAGACAGTGACAGAACTTCCATTTCATATTTGTCACCAAATCGTGGCAGACTGAAGTGAAGTCTGTGCCCAAGGCTCAGCTTCTCCATCAGGCTCCTCAATCTCTGTACATAAGGCCAATTTAATCCTAGAAGATGTTCAGAATTTGCACTGAGAGTAGTACATGTCCAAAGTATGTACAGACTTTGGAATGAAAACTACTGCTACAGACAAGGAAAATATCATCCCTCTTGTACCTGTGCTTCAGGCACAAGTGTAGTCTACCGGCCTGTCCTGCTTTTGAGGCCATTTTTGTTGCATAAAAAAAAAGTGATATAAGTTGTCCTCTTTTTTTTTAACCTGAAGGACTTTAATTGGAATGATTGCCCAGTTTTATTGCTAGGTTTTCAGCAAGCTCTTTCTCCCATAAAAAGCTTCAACAAATACTGACAGCAGTGACAGTAAAATTTAAGGTGTATGAAAAATTTGCAGAATTTCACCATACGTTTGCAAATCTTTCTGCCACTTCATAAAGCCTCTCAGAACTGATCACTTGAACTTGGACAGAGCTGCTCCACTTCTGGTAAATGAAGACCAAACAAAAAATTACACAAGGCTTGTAACTGTGCACATTCACTGATGTCTCAAGGAATTACTTCCCCTTGTTATTCAAGAAGAGGCGTGGATTACTCCAGGAGGACAGAAGAATGTCTGTGAGTGGAAGAATAAAGAGGAATGCCAGACCCAGTGCACATCTAGGACAGCCAGGGTACCATGCCTTGTTCCTGCCAACACATGGACTTCAAACGAAAAAGGTACTTCTCTATGAGTGCAAATGTCATTTATACCTGCTGCAAGACCTCTGCAGAGTCTTAATGATGATCTGTCTCAGCCCTTCCTGAGGGCTGAGAGTCACCACAGCAAAATTTGAAAGATAAATTACGCCTTACCACAAACCGGTGCCAAATACACATGCGAGTGTCTAAGTCTGTGAAGAAAGCAGAATACTGTTCTGTTGGGGAGGAGTAAAAAAAA